GTTCCTTTGTGGCTACTTGAATATTTTAAGTAAGTGTCACTCAAAACAGTAAGTAAATTGTTTTATTTGCCTTGAAAGTAGCTGTAACTTAATAAAACCTAGTAAGTTTAACAACCAGAGGTGGGACTTTAAAGTCACAAGCAAGTCTTTAAGTCATATCCCAAGTCCTCAAAGAGATAAAGTAAATGAGATAATTAAGTGACTAATTAAATTATTGTGCATTAGTGAACACCTGCTGTTATTGAGCATTGTTGTTATGTTGCACATTAGCAACATATTAGTGCACTGCTGCCTCTCACTGGTTTATTAATGTCATTGGTTCATTTGTGGCTACTTGAATATTTTAAGTAAGTGTCACTCAAAACAGTAAGTAAATTGTTTTATTTGCCTTGAAAGTAGCTGTAACTTAATAAAACCTAGTAAGTTTAACAACCAGAGGTGGGACTTTCAAGTCACAAGCAAGTCTTCAAGTCATATCCCAAGTCCTCAAAGAGTTAAAGTTAATGAGATAGTTAAGTGACTAATTAAATGATGATTGTGCATTAGTGATGAACACCTGCTGTTATTGAGAATTACAGATGATCAGATGTTGATGTTTTATTGGTTAAAATGATGCCACCATCATGGAGATCAGTGTTTGCTTTAGTTGTATTAGTGGCTCTTGACCGTTGACATTTGTGTTACATTTTCTTTATAGTAATGCATGTGTTCTTGTAAAGCAGAGAGATCAGGGCTATGCTGTGAGCAGCTATTAACTGTTTTTATGTAGTGAGGTTATAATCAAAATATATTTTTAATTTATTTATATAATAAGGTTTTGCATAATTAACCCTGTGAAACAACAGCATACAAAGAACTGATATAGTGAATTAATTTTAAATCTGTATAATGCATATAAAAATTTGATGCCCAATATTGCTTAGACACACACAGACATCAAGTACCAGCATATTAATCTCAACAGTGGAGCCAATCAACAAAATGCTTCATGCTGCAATGCATGCTGGGTTACAACATTGTAAAAACGCCCATCATGCACTGAAGTATGAAAAATTGTCACCACTATTGAGGATCATACAATAAGTGTGCATGTCTAAAAGCCAGAGCTGATATGTTTCTTTTTTCCAATGTAAAAGTACTCTTTTTTTTCCCCCGAAATTTTCATCTTTTACTATTAGGTTTGATTCTAGATTACCTCAAGCAAACGTTGACCACAATTATGGTGACATCGTGTGTGTCTTTTGTTTTTTCAGTTGATTTCATCCAAGACTGTGGCTAAAGTCAGATGTACTTCTTGTGTTTCTCTTTTCTTCAATGATGTTGATTGTTAACAGCAGGTGTTCATCACTAATGCACAATCATCATTTAATTAGTCACTTAATTATCTCATTAACTTTAACTCTTTGATGACTTGGGATTTGACTTGAAGACTTGCTTGTGACTTGAAAGTCCCACTTCTGATAACAACTTAATGCCGAGTTCACACTGCACGATTTTCAAACTCGTCGGATCGCCGTTGTTTTCACACTGCGTGACTATCTGGGGTAGCATTCAGTTGCTGCTGTGTTCACATTGCACGATGGATGGCGACAGGGGGTTTCACACTGCATGACTTCACAATAGGAATAATCGCCGACAGCTCTGTCTGGTCCGCAAACTACGTTTCACAACAAAACACACGCGAGAAGTGATAAGGAAATAACGCGAGAACCCGCGTGCGTCAGACCGGAGTTCTCGAGAGCAGATGACCTACAGCCAATGAGAGACCAAGATACAGGGCAGCGGGAAGTTCGGGGAGGAGTTATAGACCAGAATGTCAGTATTTTAATAGCTATATGAACAATTAAATCATACAGAAAAAAGCACAAACATTTGCTTGACCACCACAACATCAGCATAACAGTTACTGCAAAATTATTTACCTCCAACTCTATTTGCAGAACACCCAATCCCTGTTCCCTGCATCTCCCTCCTGCATGATCTGTTTTTCTTTTTCTCCTTTTCTCCTTGTAGCTGGAAATCAGCTCACAGACAATTTGCGGGCTATATATATATATTTTTTTTTAATAATTACAGTCTCGCTCGAGAAATCCGGTCTGACGCACGTGGGTTCTCGCGTTATTTCTTTATCACTTCTCGCGTGTATTTTGTTGTGAAACGTAGTTTGCGGACCAGACAGAGCTGTAGGCGATTCTTCCTATTGTGAAGTCATGCAATGTGAAACCCCCTGTCGCCGATCCATCGTGCAATGTGAACACAGCAGCAACTGAATGCTACCCCAGATAGTCACGCAGTGTGAAAACAACGGCGATCCGACGAGTTTGAAAATCGTGCAGTGTGAACTCGGCATAAGTAAAGATAACTAATTAAATCTAAGTAAGGTAAACTATTGGATTTTACTGTGTAGATGATGTGTGCAATTACTATCTTGCCTATCTTTTTTTCTTATCTAATTTGTTCTTATTTAAAGTTTTTTGAAAAACTTGTTGTGAGTTGATTATTTCATCAATAATTTTCAAATTTTGTTTAATGATTCCAGTGTCTGTACTTTTCTCTCTAGTCTATTACAATGGTGTATGAATGTGTAGAACCATACTGAAAGATGCATCATGTGTTTTGAACAGCTATATTTAATGATTGTACTAAAAACTACACAGTGAAACTATGGGTATCTTGTGTGTGGGTGATCTAAAGTAATGTTATGTTATGATATTTCATAATAAATGAGTTTTTTTAACCAATGCTCCTGCAAATGAAAGGCTTCTTTAAACATATGAACGCAATATGCAAAGTTTTAAACATTGGACAGCCTGTGTTACAAATGATGACATGAAGGTTCTGTTATTAGAGCAAAAATGATTGTAAAATACTGTAATACTAGCACTGACCTAATCTATTCTATTCTATTCTATTTGGTCTAATTTATTCTTATATATATATAAACTTGCCATGTCCACTGTGCTAGAATAACTGCGACTTGTCACAGCACTTGTGTACTGTTGCTCTCTCATTGGTCTGATTGCTTCTACTTTGTAAGTCGCTTTGGATAAAAGCGTCTGCTAAATTACTAAATGTAAATTACTAAATGTAATGTTATACATTTTCTTGTTCCCATTTGTATTTTTCCTCTGATGTTATAACCCGTTTCTTATCTTGATTAGACCTTGAGTTTTAAAGCCTTTTTTTTTGTGTCAGGTATTGTCCTTACATGGATGTTTTGTCTGCCTGCTCCGTTTGTCTTCCGTGTCTCTTACATGTTCTCTTGTTATTATTGTTATTTAATTAAATGTAATTTCATCTTGCTGTCCTTCGTGTTTCAGTTCACCCCAACATTCCAGTTGGCTCTTAAGAGAAGAGTAAGGGTATAAAAAGATACTGAGAGACAAAATTGTATTTGTATTGTTAATTTTCTGTTCTGTAAGTTTATGTTTGTATCTGCAATGTTGAAAGTTTTCATTTTCATTCCTAAATCAAACCATTAACTGTAAACATATCTGTTTTTACTTGATTTCTTAAATTGGACAATTAATTCATATTTTATTGGTATTATTTCTATGATTTCTTTATCAGATTGAGTTTAATACAATAATAAGATAGATCGTAACATTCAGCTATTTTCTTTAAAGAACACTATTCTAAATTAGTTACTTACAAAACAAAAAGAAGGAACCACAGCAGCTTGGGCAAATATTTTGTGGGCATAACAGTAATCATTTGATAATTTCTCTTGGCAAAGTTTAGCTTAGTGTTTTGGTACAAGGATGTGAAATCATTCTACTGAAGAAATTCCTTATGAATGGAATAGGAATGTCAATATTCAATTCTGTGTCTTTCAGTCTCACATAGGACTGAATATTCTTGGCATCCTTGAGGGTCTCAATAATTTGGTTCATAAGAACTTCCAGATGGGTCATAGTAGATTCAATCCAAGCCTGGGTGTCTTCAGTCAGTTGCGCAAGGGTCATCTCAGCAAAAATGTTCTGGGCCTTGGCTTTGACAGTTTTATAATAGCCTTCAATAATTCTCCTGGTCTTCTCAGCCTGCTCAGCTATTTCATTCAGGATGTTGGAGTTGACAGCATCAGAGAAAACTTTACTGATCCAGGATGAGAGCTTGCCCAGATCTTGAAATTTGATAGAGCTAATGAGCTCCTCTGCTTTCTTCACACTTAATTTCAGGATTTCAGGCAGTTCCTTCAGACAGTGATCAATGATACTTTCTAGCTTCTCGTACTTATTGCTGATGTCATTGTAAAGTGCACTGATGAAATATGTTACTGTGTCTTTCAAATCCTTAAATGAAGCAACTTTCTTCTTCAGCCACAAAAGAATTTGACCAGGGAGCTCCTTGTTCCACTGTGTCTGGAAACTCAGTCTGTTTGGGTCCTTTATTGCAATATCAACCTTTAGCATGTCCATGTAATCCTCAGACTGTAATCAAAAATAGATAATGTCACTGTCATGTCTACTTGTATACTGAACGTTCAAAGTATTAATATATTAATTGATATGTAAGATACACTAAATGTGTAATAAATAAATTGTTATATTTTTTTAAATTCTTACTGGGTTTGCACCAAAAAGTCTTCCTGTGTGGTGGGATAAGCTCTTGCTCTGCAGCTGAAGACCAAGGAGTCCAGCAGATGGTGATGATACAGAAACAGTAAGACCTTCTTCTGTATTTCCAGTTAAATTGTGGTAAAGCATAAATTTCACATCTGGAAGATTTACTTTGGCAATATTTGAAATAACAGCCTTTGAGAGTTCTGTGTTGGTCTCAAGAACTCCATTATAGTTGTTCTCAAAATATTTATGCTCCACAATTAGATTGGTAAACAATTTCATCCCTGAATTCATGTTGAAGGTGGCAGAGCCACTGGTTTTGCCATTGAGTACACCAAACTCAGAGCTAACCTGAGTTTCAAACTGGGCAGCAATTTCATCCTGATTAAAGATATCAGCCTTGGTATTAATAATGATCATAGCTGTTTTCACAGAGAAGTCATAGGTCAGGTCTCCCATGACAGGGATCATAATTGATTCCTTAATATTGGGAAGAGTGATCTTGGCAAAATAAGGACAATAATATGTTTCAGATGTGGTTTTGGCAGTTGCGAAAATGGGTATTTTAATTTTCCTAATAATAGAATTGAGGACTGGTTGCATGTTGAACATCTCAGGGTTCTTCACATACTTAAACTTTGCATCCATATCAAAGGTCTGCTGAGGTGTGATCAAGATTTTTTTAAGGCCTGTGTCCTCCCATAAAGAAAATTTCTCTACACACAGTATTCCATTGGTAATGAATGGGACAGTCAATTTAGGAATGTTAATCGGCAAGGTGAGCACATTAAAGTCAGCCTCACCATTGACTGATGCAGAGAACTGAATTTCCTTCTCACCATTAGCCATACTAATGAAATGAGAATACTTATATTGATTTAACCTAGCAAGACTGGTCCATCTGGCCTGCTGCACAGAGAGATTCAGAGTTAAAGCCATATCGTTCTGCAAATCAACTTTACTGGACAACCTAAATGGAAGCATTACTGTAGTGTTTTTCTTGTTCTTGGTGTCAAAGATCATTTCAAAAGGCACAGCCTTGAAGTTAACTGAGTTGGTAATGGTGCCTTCAACTTTGCCAATCAGTTCAGCATCATGAGACCCACTCAGCTCAAGCATGGGTTCCATCAAACGAATCTGCCCTTTCACTTCTGCAATGCTTTTCTTGATAAAAGGAGTTTCTGTCTCTGCATGCACATTCAACTTGATCTGAGTCAAACCTCTAGTCTCAACATCAACTTTTTGCGTCATCTTGAGAAGACTGCTGTCAGTGTCACCATCAAAAGTCAGTTTTATGGACTCCACGTTTATCAGAATCTCCAAGTTACTCTTATGGGTTCCTTCATCAGAATAATCAAAGACAGACAATTTTCCTTTGCCATTATTTCCAAGGGTGAGGGTGATTATGCCAGATTCCAGCTGAGCAGCAGCTTTTTGGGTCATTGTGGCTTCACTGAAGATGTTGGCCACTGGCATGTTCACACTGTGGATGTAAGAGGTCTCCAAAGTACCTGAGAAGCCATTTTCTGTGCTCAGAAATGCATTGTTCACTAAGTCAGCCCTGTATGGTTCTGTCGTTGCCTTAGCTGTGGTCTTGGAAGATACCTGGGCAATAGGGCCATTGATGGACATGAATCCCTCGTGATCAAGAGAGAAAGCCACGTGATTTGCTTTCACTGTCTCAGTCAAAGACAGCTCTTTCATTCTGGTGATGCTAAGGTGAGCAGTGGCATCAAAGGTGTACACCAAGAGATCAATAGGTGTCTGGAACTGAGAATTCAGGTTAGCAGTGAATTTGTCTGTTGAGTTATTAAGTTCAGCACTGGTCTTCAGAGTGTGCTCCGAGGATTTGATTTCAATCTCACCATGCAGAATTCCAAAGCAGGGGACCCTAATGAGGTCAGTTACCATCTGCTTTACTTCATCAGCCAAGGTGTCAAAATCACAAGCCATCATTTCAATGACTTTGCTATTTAGTAGTTTTGTCAGCTCATTCATTTGTTCAAAGATTCTATCAAATACTGGTTTCATGTCAAAAGAGTTTAGGTAACTTGCAGCTGATTGCATAGTTTCCCTTAGTTCATATTGTTTCATTAAATTCACAGCATTATCGATGATTTTCTCAACCATTGCCTCAATCTCATATTCTGCTAAAACCTCATCAATTTTGTTGAGAATTTCATTTATCTTGGTGATAATGCCAGTTTTTTGGCCCAAACTGTCAATCAAGTCCCTGATGGGTTGCAGGTTTTTGCCCATTTCCATTACTACAGCTTTCATATCAGAGGCAAAAACTCACATCATCCAAGAACATGTCCACATCAAAATTTACAATTACCTGTGAAAGTTCATTTCCTTTGCTTTTAAAAGTGGCTGTAATGTCATATTTAGTATCAATGACATCAAGCACGTCAATACTGTGATCTTTCATGGTGAGCATTGCAATTTTGACCTCTTCTATGAGAAAAGGCAGCTTATCAATGAAAGGTAGGTAAATAAAATGACTTTCACTGTTCTTCTCATATTTCAGAGCACTTGTGATGCCAAATTCTTGATTGTCATTGGCTTTGTTCAAGAGGTTGGTGGACACGGTGCCTTTCAGTGCAATACCCATGTTATTTGGAGTGTTGAAGATTTCCAGGGAGTGGTCAAAGGCATGGTCATTCAGCATAGACTCCATATTGAAGTTAAACTTTTGCTGCTGAGGGGTGATAGCGCTGGTTATTTTATGCTGGAAGTTAGGTTTAATGGAGTTTCCATTGTTCAGCTGGTGGGAAGTTGAGGCCTTCCATTCATGCTTGTATGAGTAAGACTTAGGTTCAGCTTGAAGAAGCAGCATGCTTTTCACCTGGCCACTGTGTTTTCCATACAGGTTAAGTGCTCCATCAGAGCTGAATGAGCTCTCAACATTCACCCTGAAAGGTTCTGTTTTAGTTAGGATGTTGCTTTCCAGTTGGAGAGAGGGAGAGTTGAAGTGCACCTCATTGCTGAACTTTGTGGAAAACCCAATTATCTCAAACTCGGAGCTTTGAGTCATTTGACTGCCCAAGAGTTTTCCATTGGTGCTGCACTTTGCAGTGGCTGTCTGGTCAACATATGTGATCTCATATGTATGTCTGAGTCCCTTTTCATCAAATATCCCCTTCAGAGTTCCAGTAACTTCCATCTTGTAGGGCTCTGCCTTCATCTGGACCTCGTTGCTAAAGAGGATACCAATTACTTTAAGATCATTTTCAGCCTGGAAAGATGCTGTAAATTCATGTATGTCCACTGCAACGTTGTGCTTGTAGAAGTTGTTCTCATTCAGGAAGCTGTTGGATTTAGAATGCATGGCCAAAGATTTGAGGGTAACTATCAGTGAGTCTGTGTTTTCTATTTTAATCTCTTGAAGTGATGCAATCAAGTTGTTGGAGAGGTTTAGACCATCTTCATTCAGCTTGAGAGTGATCATGTTTCTGGTGTTGGCATTGAAAATGTCACCCTTGTACATGCTGTTTAGATATACTTCTGAACTTGCAAGTCTTCCTTCAACTTTGAGTTCAGCGCTGTTCTCATTGACTGTTCCCTTGCTGGAAACAGCCACTGTAGCACCTGTAGTTGTAATTATACCATGGAAAATGTTTTCAAAGGTCACAGATCTGATCTGAGCACTGGTGGTACAGCTAGTGGTCAGGCCATCTTTGGTGAATGACAGCGTGCCTTTGCTAGAGGCATGGTTGGCAGCGAAGTTGATCGTAGCATCACTGTTGAGCTCCAGTCCCTGGGTGCTTAGGGACCCAGTAAGCTGGGAGAAAGCTCGGTTTGTGTTGTCATCAGCCTGGGACTCAATCCTGATAGTGACCTCCTTCATGGTTGCAGAGAAATCTACCTGGTTTTGAAGCTTGGTCTCATAAGCTCTGGTGACAGAATCAGACTTAATGGTAAACTTAGCTTCCTTGAGTTCAATGTTGAACTTGGTGGTGTGGTGGACTGGGTCATTCTCTATGTCAGTGTTCAACTCAAATGAAAGTTCTCCACTGGCTGCTGTGGCTTTCATCTTGTTTAGTATTTGGAAATTTGGACAGTTTAAACTGAAAGTGGATTCAGCTCTTGCCTCTCTAGATTTGGGTTGAAGTAAAAAGGCTTGTGTGGCAGTAGTTCTAGCAGATATTGATCCTACTTTTAGTGATCCATCTAAACTGCCATCCCCTCTGATTTCAGAAGAAACCGATGCCTGGGTTGTGTATACCAGTGACATCTGCATACCCAGAGGGCTGAAGGCCTCAATCTTGTACTTTCCTGTTGCTTTCACTTCATCTGTGAATTTGGCTGTTTCCATTAGACTGAAGCGTGCATCTATGAGCTTATGTTTCAGGGAAGAAATGATGTCGAACTTCGCAATGTCCGCTGTAATGTCAGCAATTTGTGCAGACCCTGCATGTAACAAATATGGTCATTAATTCTAGAAATGAGAAAAAAATCCCACCCAAAGACCCATATCAATTAATAAAACTAAAATCATGTATCATGTATACTGCATGTGTTTACCTTCCACAGTAAAAGCAAGAAGTTCCACAGGACTGTTTGCAACAACTTTGTAGCTTGTAATGTAGCTGGGCTCATTGACAGTGTTGCTGCCAGCAGAAAAAACTGCCTCTATATCATAAAAGTTAGTGTTCACTTTTGCTGATACCTCTACCATTCCTAGAAGAGGCACTGGGAGGTCATAGCTAGAAGGAATAGAAAAGGTTGGTAGATTGAACCTTTTAGAGGGTAGCATTACACTAATTTGTGGCATGACTAGTTCTGGGGTGGCCATGGTGGGAGGGATTCTCAAGTCCTCAGATGTTTTTCCACCAAGAGGCAAAGGAACAGTGAAGGTGACATGATCTTTGTTGAAGTTGTATTTGAAAATGCTCTCTCTGCAAACAGAATACAATTTATTTGAAGTTGAATGGATAAGCACATTTGTAGTTGGATTTAAAACATTAGCATTAATCTTACGTGTTCATGAACACCCTCTCAGGCAAAGATGGAATAACCAGTTCTGGAATGCTCTCTCTTAGTGTCTGAAGGTAGGGCACATCAGAAGCAATCTTGTCCATCCAAATAAGGTAAGCCTGCCAATATCAATAAACATATTGGTTATGGCACAAATATTTTTCATGTCTATAATAAAAACTGTTGTAAATTTTATACAGTCATACCTCCCAGAGTTTTGCGTAAATGTGACGGAGTTTCATGTCAGTCTTTACAACTTTATTGTCCATGATGTTATCAAAGGCCTGATATAGGTGACTCTGAAGAGGTGCTGCATTAGGCATCAGCTTCTGGATCTCTGAGTCTATGTCAGACTTCATCTCAATCTTCATCTCATCTTTAGCTGTTTTAAAAGCAAATTATCACTTGTTATTTTTGACATAAAACCCAAAATAATTATTTAGTTATTTAAGACTGACTTAAATAAATAAAGATTTAAAAAAAAAAAGTGTGAAAACAGTAAAAGGAGAAGTATCCAATACCATATTGTAAGGTAATCTTCTGCACAGAGTTGGTCTCTGGGAGCTTGATGTTACTCTTGAGTTCCAGAGTCAAATATTCATCACAGTTCATGGTAGCAGTAAGAGTGGCCTCAGTGTTAAGTGAGGGCATAATCAACTGAGTTTCCAGCAAGCCATCTTTCATGGCCTCAAGCCTGTTATAAGCAGAAGCATGTCTTTTAGATGAAGGAACTTGCCCATTGGCAAGTGTTTCAAAAGGTAATTTACATCTCTACATACTTTGCACGACCAATGAGAGAAAACTGGTTAATATTTTTCTTGGAGATATCAATGGTGATCTTCTTTCCTTTAGCAAGGCTGTCAGTGACACCAACTTTAATTCCGGCCTCAATATCATAGTCAGGAATTTCAATGCTGGTCATTAGAATATTCTTGTTCCTGTTGTATTTAATAGTGGCAGTTGCCTCTGTGGCCTTAGTACCTTATGGTAAGAAAAGAGGAAAAAAGTGATCCCTAAAACCCACAGCATCAAACACTATAGGAATGTTGTTATATTATAACAGAGTGGTCAAAATTTCAAATTCGCTGTTGTTAAGTATACATGCCTTCTGCTTTCAAAATCATTTTCAGTAAATCAACCTTATGGCGGCCTTCCTTGCCCTCGTTCAAGAGTTCATAGGTAAAGGCTGCAGTGTACTCAGTGATGTCACCGGTGGGTTGGATACCCAAAACAAAACTGTGGGCACATAATAATTTAAGTACAACACATAGAAAAAAAATATTTAGTGTGTTTTTTTAAGTTTTCGTGTGTTTTTTTTTAAAGTTTGATTCTTACCTGGACTCTCCATTGAGAGGAAAGTATGGAGGATTTCTCTCAGCTTTAGAGTTGAGTATGGTGGTGCAGTAATTGATTCCAGAAATAAGGGGGCTGCAGTTCGTTATGGCAGTTCTGTCGCCCGTCTCAGGAACAAGTGTGACCGGAGTTTTGGACACCATTACTAACTTGTTGCTGTTTGTGAAAAATGACGAAAGGATTCCTATTATGTTTCTATTAAACAGCTGATTGGACCAAATTTGTAGAAAGCTGATGCAATTTCTTTCTGTACATTTTCTTTAATAGTATAAAGAGCATTTTAAAATAAACCATGTAACATATAGCACAAAAGCTACCTGACTCTGAAGAGTTCAATAGTGTTCTTGGGTGGCAGGATTGACAGCTTTATTTGGCCATCGCCCGTAGTGATCTTGGCATTGAAAGAGCTCTCATGGAACATATTAGTGTGCATTTCCACAGCAGAGACAACAAGTTTGGGGATGTGGACTCCCATACGGGTAACAAATTCTACTGCCATGGAGGGTGAAAAAGACAGTTCAATCTGTGAAAAGAAATAGGGATACATTAGTAATAAACATGACAATAAAAAGATGACATGGAAAATAATTTGTTATACTTTTTTTTGTACATAATCTGGATACTGAACAAAACGCAATCAAGGGCAATATTTAATACCCTGCCAGGTTCCATATGCAGACCACCCTCAACACCAGGTGCAAAGGTCCCAGACAAAGCAAACTTAAGGGGAAATCCAGAGGCAGTTGGAAGGGAGAACTCATTATCCATAAAGATGTAGTGAGCAAAGATGCTCTGATCTCCAGACATCAAGGCCTTTGTAATCTATTGAAACAGGAATATGTAGAATTTTGCATTTATAGTGCCTCAAAAACAACTTTCCCTGTCAGATAGAAAATTTTGAGCTTGCAAAAACAGATAGCAAAAAATACTGTATAAATTAACCCAGTGTTGTCTGATATATGATAGAGCTAATATAGATATGTTTTATGTGAAATGCAGCATATTGTATATACATACCCAAGCAGGTAAGTACTTGAAGGCCTGAATATATGTGGCCATCCTGTCAACAATAGCTGACAGGACATTGGTGCTCTTGATGTATCCCAACTCATTCCCCATGATCCTTAAGTAAGCAATAGCCTCTGGGGAGTCCTGGTTGTATAGATCCTTTGCAAGCTTGTTGAAGTTCCGCACCATTTCCCTAATAATATTCTCAGGGACCTGTCAAAGAGAAAATTCTGATATTATCTAGCCTTGGATACATGCATGAAAAATAAAATCCTATCAATAATCACATTGCGATGTTTGGAATAAGCAATGGATATCAGTACCTGCCTTTTAGTTTTTTCTGTTCTCAGGGGTTCAACCCATTCTTGCAGAACTTCATTGATTTTGTTTGGTATTTTGTCCCCAACCCAGTACATTGCCTTGGAAATAGAATCAGGGAAGAAGCCATTGCTTCCAAAGAGAGTCTCAACAGTTGGCTCAAATCCTTTGCCCCCCATGCCAAACTTGGTGATTCACAAAATAAATAAACAAATAAATAAATTCTAAAAGTCGTAGTCAAATCAAATGCATAAAATGGTCCATAAAAACCAAGGGTATGTTCAAGCAATAAGTAATAATTGAATCATATAACAATTGAGTTTTACAACCAATTAAATACAAGTACATAACACATTAAGATTCCTACCTCAATGAAGTCAAGGTTGTAACTGAAGGCTTTCAGGGTTGTCTCAAGCATAACCTCTCTGGGCAACTGACTGCTGGGATCAAAAATGATGCTTCCTTGCATATCGGAGCCCATGACATCCTTGCCTGGCATAAATACATCCATCTTATAGTTACGAGAGAGCTGAGTGTAGTTTGAGTGGGTCAGCACCTCATCATCCTGCATGACCTTGACTATTGTTTTGCCCAACCTTGGAAGAAAAAAGTTATAGTATTTATAGTGTTATATTAGATAAAGAGCAAAATAAATGGTAGACAGCAGTTGATGTGTTTTGCAAACTAGAGAAAACTGACAAACTGAATAACATACTCTTTAATTTCAGGATCCCTGGAATGAATAATGTTGTAGACATGAGAAGCCACAAAAGACTTGACTTGCACATTCTGGTCCTGGGTAAGGATCTTCCTCACAACCTCCAGGTCACTTGCCTCTGGCTTTTTCATCAAGATAAGATATGCTGCAAGTCTCTTTTGAACAGTACCTTTGGCATATAGGGCCACTCTCTGAATGTTGGAACGGACCTGAACATTTAAAAAAAGAGAGATTGGAGTGTAAAATTGGTTTTCTTAGATAATTTCATACATAAGACAAACATTTGATTCTGAAGCAATAAAAATTGTTCAACAAAAATTGCAATGCTTACATCAGGAGTCACAGACATTCGTCTGAAAGCCTGAATGGCAGACATCTGGACTGACAGGGTGGTGGCAGGCTGTCTCATACACTTAAGCAGAGTGGTCTTTATGTTGGGATCAGCTGCTTCCATAGCCTCGCCCATGTTTCCAATCACCTAAGCAGGGCAGATTATTATAAAATATGTTGTTTTCCCAGTGTGAAAATATCTAAAAATATAGATGTTAAAACACACACCCTTAAGGTCAAGTAAGTCAGATCTTTCTCGCCAGCACAGTCAGCATCAAGAATGGAGGTAATGAAGTTAGACACCTCAAGAATCTCAGAGGTGAGCTGACCCTCAGCTTGGAACTGCCTGAAGAGATATATTATTAATGCTCAGCTACAGTGGAAATATACTGACAAATACTTTAGCTAAAGGAAGCTAGCATAGCTGATCACCAGCATATGTTGTGCTTTGGATTTCAGTGTGCTGATATCTTACAAAGCTCGATTACTTTGATGGACCAGCTTCACTAGAAAGACCACCATACAAATCACAGTCTTCACCAACCATGTTTTGCATATGACAGCATGGTGATGCTGACAGCACTTAATTAATATGAACCAGCTTAGATGAGCTAGAAAATTCAAGCTGTTCTATGCTGGTCTTTTCAGATGGGAATTGAAAGGAATTAAGCAGTCTAGAGATAGAAAATAATTTGCGTACCTCCTTACAACATTGCTGAGAGCATACATTATTGGCTTGCTCTTCTTGGTCTGCGCAATCTCCAGTATGTCTTTCACCAAGAGGCCAGTAGGTCTAAGCATCATTCCTAGAGCATAGACAGCAGCATCTACCTCAATGGCATCAGCGTCAAAGGTCTTCAGAATACTGAACATGGCGCTGCCACACTCTGGGGTGCCACACTGAATCAGGGCCTGCCAGGTCAAAAAGTTGTCCTCCTTCACCATGGAGTTCAGACACCAAACTCTGGAAAATGCTGGCCCTTAGCTGCCGATCTGGATTTTCGTTCATGGATTTCAACTCCCTGAAGATGAACAGCAGAGCCTCAGAGGTCTGGGCTGGGGCTTTATCCTCCATTGCCTCTAGAGCCAAGTGTTTGGGGTGAGTAGAACCTGTATATTGGAGAGCGGGATGATATGTGGGTGAATGGCATAGTCATAGTCACAACCAAGGAAAACATGGTCAGCATATTCCCAACAGTTCTATCATCTTTATCCAGACAAATCAAATCCAAAGTTCTCAAATCTATTTGAGATATAACAGTGAAACTGGGAACACTCACGATAATCAAAAACTCTGTCATTAATCTTGCTGGTTCCCTCAAGAGTTAGGATTTGTTTAACAAGAGAAGAGATACCATACGTATTTCTGCAATGACAATGAAATGCATATGAATGAATTAGAATATGATGTTCCATTTATGCACACATATCATTAGGAAATTTAGCAAGTGATATGATGTCAGTGTCACTCACTGGTAAGAGAAAGGAAGAAATATGTGCTTCTCTGTGCACATGGCAGAGGTCATGTGCTTCTTCTCGTTTTCGAACTTATAGTTGCAGGTCTGGGTACTGCCAATCAGCTTGGACAGAGGGTATTGCTGTTGACAAATAAATATATATTTTATATAAATACATTATCTGTTTCTTGAAAATTATTTTTTCACCTGTAGTTGGCTCAGTCTGTATGATATCATGCTTTTGTCAGTATTGGTTAGCGTTTACTTAATCATTTACCTGTTTATTAAACATAGGGTAATTAGCAAATTGCACTGAGGATGATGATTAATGGAACAGAATTTAATTTAATTTTAAAGTAAAAATAATCTAAAAAGCAATTATTTGAAGCTTTAAACCATCAGAGGGTTTTTTTTTTTTTAATGATCATCTCACCAAACCAGTGATGATTGCAAGAGGGCTGGTGTGGCTTCTTTGGGTTTTGAAAGTATCACACCGTGACAGGTCTCTAGTGAGGGTGACATCAGTGGCAATATCTGGCGATGCACAAAGGTACTACTGTCCTTCATGTCAGAAGTAATGCATGCTTGCAGAAGATTTAGATTTGCTTTTAGTTGCATTGCACCACACATGTCCGCTGTAGACATGGTGAAAGTAAATCAACTGCAGGTGTTTTTCATTGCAGGTTTTTCAATTACAAATATCTTTACATTTTCAGAAATTTAAATGAAATTCTTTGTTTTTCTGAAGTGGGGTGGGGTAAAGGATCCCTACTTATTTTCAGTCAGTGGACTGGAACAAAATGTGGGAAAAAAATTCTGGCAGCATGTACTGACATATATACAGAAAAACATAATCTACTGATATCTCACTGTTTTGAGTAATTATTATTTTCCAATTATTTTGGTTTATTAATTTACCACGCCATATGTGGCTAAAGTTGTATGGCCAAAAATAATATTTTTAAATACAATCAATTGCAATAATTGTATTACTACTAATAAATACAGACAAACTACTTTAAGGTAATATACAATAATGGTGTAGTGATGATTGAGGGCTCTGTTGGAGCAAGGATATTTTGGATATTGATATATTCATTGCTTTGTAATAATAATAAAAAAATATTATTACTAAGCAAAGATGCAAAAGCTGGCCTCAATATTTTTCAGTAAATCCTGAGATTACTTCTGAGGTTTATGAGAATTTAGAGGCAATATCATGAATATCATGAAATAGTTATATAAATCAGTGAAATAAATCAGTTGACTTCCTGGGTCAAGATTAACTTGCACCTTCATTGGAATTTATTATTCCAGATAAGAAGATTAAGATCTTATCTGCTTAGTTGTTTAAGTGGGTGTCCATACCAGCATTGCTTAAATTAATTTAATCTAACAAGTTCAACATACAATAAAAGGCAGTTCATAACAGATTAAGGCTTTAAGCAAGAAGAAAACATGTTTATGTACCATGTCTTTGCTCTCCTCTTTCTCCGTGACAGGAACAATCAAAGCAGAGATGATACCCCTCTTGAAGTTCAGAATGTTGGTTTCATCTCCCTCACGATAGAGTGTCACACCTGTCTCACCCTCAACAACAAACTTCAGTACATTCCTGTGAAAAGAGAAGGATTAGCTGTAGAATCATTTGTTGAAAAGTTTCTGATCAATTTTAAAATCAGTTTGTTATAAACTGGAAACCAGTCTTACAATGTTATAGTTTATGAGGTAGTTTTTATTTTCTGTTTATTGGCTGTTGGTATATTTTAGCAATACTGGCTGTGCTCATTTTGAATATTTGCAGACTTAGCATTATTATTTGATCCATTTTCTCTAAAGGGAAGGGAAACATACTTTTCTATGGCTGCTTGAAAGGCTTGGGCCTCAGCAGCAGGTGCATAGATGGGCGCCCCATTTGCATCCGTTCTGACCACCTCAGTTAGGGAACACTCACTGGTATGGAGCTCAAAGCTACATGCCACAGGCACATCAATTTCGACCTAGGGAAAGAAGGGTGTTAATGACTTATTTAATGACTTAGACTTAGCAAAACAACAGGAAAGGCATATTGAGAAACTGAATTGTTACATGATTTTTCAAATGTACCTTGCAGGAGATTTTGGGACCATTAATGAGAGGGGAGGTCCCAGTAACCATATTCCGGATCTCAGCTTCATACCGATATGTATATTTTTTGTAAATCTTAAATCTTTTAGATACTGTAAATAAAATAAACACTAGGTCAATTCCAAATTGTCGAAAGAATAATCACACACTGCAAAAGAAAAAAAAACATTTTCTTAGTACATTTATTTTTCAGTGAATTTTGTGTTGTCCAATAAAAAATATTTCAACAGAAATGTAGGACATACCATAGAATATATCCCATATATATATATATATATATATATATATATACATTCTGAATACACGTTTTGTCTATTGGCACTGGTAAACTTTCCCACTCATTTTCTTAAATGTAAATTTTTCAGGTAAGTTGAACAAAATATCCTTATTTTGTTTACATATTATTAGTTTAGATATTATTTCAGGAAAACAAGACAAATAAAATAATTAAAACATGTTTTTGCATATTTATATATATAACATTTATAACATTAATATTACTTTGTTTAAATTTCATTACATTATATTGTTTTATCTAATCAAGATAAGCAATAAGAAATCTGGACTCTGACATCCTGACTCAATCACTGTCTGTTGTAGATAAAAAGTAAATAGCCACGTTAGAATGATGATGCCATTTATTGAGGGTTCAAAGTAAGTGACAACACCAATAGGTACAGTGAGTCCAATAGGTAAAAGTTAAGGATAAATTAAATTGATGCTTTAACATGTATGAGTCCTAGACACCTCGAATACAAATAACATTTCATCAAAAGATAATAAATAAAAAAATAAGAAAAATACTTACAGTGACATTCTGGATGAGAATTTGATTCAGTTTCTTGCTCTAGTGAGAAAGTCATTATGCAAGTATGATTAGGAAAAATATGTAAACAAAACTAAAATTGAATATTGAAAGGTAAATCAAAGATAACATTTTAAACAAATCAAATTTTAGATTAATTTAACCTTTGACACAACTTAGCCTTTACAGACTATGAAATGCTAAAATTAGGCTATAGGATACATAGGATGAAGCTAAAAAAATATTTTTAGTGCATGAAATGCATTAATGAAGTAACATTAATACACCAGAATGCAAAGGTACATTATACTCACGGGCTATAGCATAAGTGCCAAGTAGCAGCAATAGGCAGAGCTTCATATTCCCCATACTGGGTCAGAAGAAGCTCAGAAGCCCTGAGACTACAGCGAGCCTTCCTCCAAATGGAGACTGGCAGTGATCATCTGGCTCGCATCTTTTATACTCTGATCTATTCAGTTCACTTAGGGGGTTAAACAAGGGTTGCAACAGGTCCAAAGTTCCATCAGTCAGTGTGGCAGGCCAAAGGCAAAAGCTGTTTCATAAACACCACCCAAGACTTGCCTGTCAGCAATGGAACTGATGAAACTCACTGATTGCATTAACCAACAGTAACCACAGGTTTTAGACTACCTTGATTGATTTTCTTTTCTTTCATTTGAAATCTTACATAGGCTAAAGGTTGTTGTTGGGGAGAAAGAACAAACTAGTACCACAATGTTCAATGTAATAAGTAAAAATTGTCAAATATGAAATTGTAATAAAAGGGCTAAAGGGTGTTAAGGGCCTTTAACTTCATTGAGTGTCATTATATATTCTTAATATTGATTGCAGTTAAAACACTAAAATATGTCGGACATAAACTTTCAACAAAATATTATTCTGTTACAGGCAAATGCAATACAAATGCCACAAATGATGGGATTCCACTAGACAATAGTGGAGTAGTTACCCAGCAGAATCCCAGTAGTTATTACCATTTTCTCTAGTGACATATGTGAGTCATGTCCTAATCAGAGTTATTTTCAAGCAACATACCCTCTCCCAATTTACAACCCTTATCTTTAAAACCAAGTTTAAAGTGTTCAGAGAACATTTAAACTATTTAGGATCCCTAATGGACTGTGTTCGGAATTGTCTACTCTAAATTATCTACAGTATCATTAGCACAGGGCTTGGATCTTATGGAAAGGAAAGAAACAACGTGTCATCAACATGAGTCTTACATTTTAATTTTGTTTTATTTTATCATGCTAAACTTTTCATGGTTCAATGTTAAATCATGGTTTCATACTACCTTTACAATCAGAATGTTTTTGCTAACATGGCTTGTTTCATTAATCATGTCTGATTCAGTCAAATTGGCAACATGCTGGTCTGTTTAGAAGCCAAAATAACAGCCATGTTTAATTCTAAGATACAGTTAATCTTAGCGATTTCAGAGCTGTTGCTCTCATCATTTTTTGTGTTGAATTTTGGTTTGCTCACTGGGAGCTGCATGCACATTTTCCCTTTCTTTTCCTTTTATTTTATTGATTTTCTGCTTAAAATATATGTTCTTTTTAGCTTTCAATTAAATAAAAAAGGGGAAAAATGGAATATACACTTCATAAATTATTATACAAAATATTTTATCTAAGGTCACATGAAGTGTTTATTTTAATATGATAAACTACATTTTGCATGTGTTTTCATGAATTTTGCAAAGTTTTTTGCAAGTTTTTCCCTTCAAGTGTTGAGTTGACAAATTTTTTCAAATTTACTATTAAGAATGATCGTAAAATTACTGGGTGCTGATGTGTTGGTTTGTGATATACAGTAAATACTATGATTTTGGGAAAACAGTCATGCCAATA